GTTCTTGAATCGCGAAACTCAAACACCCCAAGACGTGATAACCACAGACTCGTTTTCTAGCATGACCGTGGAAAATACCAGGAAAGGAGACCGCGAGCCGGGGGAAGGTATATCATCTAACTCAGGCTTTTTTTTCTCCTTCACTCATGCCGAACCTCTCTCGCCGTGCACAAAAGCCCCCCCAAAAACGGGCCTGGACATTCCAGACAACTTGCCACGCGCATACTCGTAGTAGTGGTGGAAATCCGTCACATGAAACATCGAAGGAAGGACAGGTTGGGGCCCTCCAGAACGTTGGACTTTTGAGCTTTTTGCCGCCTCAACATCATCGGTCGACCCGGCAGGATCTGCAATCAGGACCATGCTCTCCTCCTGTACGAACACTCTTTCCCGATAAGCGGAAACAAAAGCATAGAAATGACATATATTCGCGCCAATAATCACTAGAATTCAATGATAATCTACACTAACCCCCCGTATTCCGCTCCCAAGAAGAGTAGATACCTTCATCCCCAGAACCATTCCGATGCCGGCTCAAATCCAGAAGTCCTTGCTTTTTCCTGCTCCTACCCACTCATCCTCCCAGCCATCCGCAGAGGCAGAGGCAGAGCCAACTACCATTACTCCATCTTCATGATCTTCCTTGGCTTCCTCTACAGCAGGGGAACTACCCGCACCGTTGCGTTGATCCACCACCGTCTCCGTACCCGTCTCACCTCCCATGTCCTCGTCCTCGTGCTTATCATCACGGATCCTCCGCTTCCCATCGAATGCGCACCCCTGGGCATGCTCAGTCTCGAGCCCCAGCTCTTCCGCAAACCTTGCCGCGGCCACCTCGACAGGCCCACGTCTGCCGAGGAGCCAGCGACATCTATCTTGGTGACTTTCTGAAACAAGCTCTTCCGTGGTCGGGGGAATGATGATCACTAGTGCTGTGCAAGTCGTCGTTGGGCAGGCTTGAAGCTTGACCATGTCGGGAGTTTGGTCCCCGTACGCTTTTCCAGGCGGAGAGGGAGAGTACGCGATAGATGATAATGGTGGAGGTGAGCTTGCTGCTGGCGAGCGGGACTCGCATGTAGATGGTGATGTGACTGCTCGTGGTAAGCGTGATGGTGTAGCTGATGCCTTGGATGTGTCCGGTCTGGTTGGGTATGAGTTGTTGGACGGGAAAGTCTGGGTGATCTTTTCGTCCAAGGGCGATCGGATTGGCTCTAGTGGGGAAACAGAAGTATTGTTTCCCTCTGACGATGTTTCCTGAGCACGTGCATGTGCACAGTTAGTCCTCTTCGCTGCCCTTCTCCTTCTCCTTCTCTTTCTCCGTTCTTTGCATTCATTTTTGATTGTCTCGCTCAAGGGTGCTGGTGATTGTTCATCACGTTTCTCTGGTGGCGGTGTAGCAAGGCCGGCATTTAAATAGATTTGGCCCTTGCAGCCCCAAGAGTCATCGAGGTTGACGGCGCTCGCAGGCGCTGGAGATGGCTGCTCAGCTACCCCTGTTGCTGGGCTGTCCGTATTCCTGTTAGAGGAAGGCAATCTGATTGGCGGGTTTACGGCAAATTCTCCGGGATAGATATGCGTTGGTCTTTGACTCAGCATGTTCGTCGGGGTTAGAATCGGAGGTTCATCTTCTGAGGTTGCTTCGACGGTACATTTTGTTTTGCGCTCGTACGGGGAGGTAAGATACGTGCGCGTGTCTTGATAGAATTTTGCATCATTGATTGAATGAAAATCCATGTTATCGAGTCGATTCAATCTGGTATTGAGGAGGCTGCGGCTTTGGCGGTCATCGCATGGCCGCTGTAGTGGGCTACCCAGTTTGAAGCTTTCGAACTTGGGATCAGAACGTTTATGTCCAGGGATAACAATTTTGCCATTTTTCGAACTGTCTATTTCTTTAGAATCGCCTAGCAAGTCCTCGCGACTCTTGCTATGGTAAAGTAAAGGACTCGGGATCGTAAAATCATTTAGAGAAGGTGGCTCTGGCTGGGTATGAGCGTCCTCTGATTCGCATGGGTGGATATCAGGTAGTCGAACCTCAGGAGCGGAAGCTGGTGTCATAGGTATAGAGGGCGAGTTCAAGTCAAATCCAGTATTATTTGGCATTCTCTGAACTGGTCTGCAGGTAGTCTCAACTTGGCGAGATGGCCTCTGGCAAGGGGAATCCTTCACCGCTATACTAGCTTCCGGACTAGAGTCCGGTAGAGGTAGCGAGAACGTGAATGGACATTGCGGAGGGGTCGCGGGTTGCGTAGGCATGCCAGCATCGAATGTTTCCAAGACGGAGAAACGGTTGCCTTTGGGTTGCTATCAATGACCTGAGCAAACCGAGTGTTCGAAGCGATCACCTACCAGCGGAGCAAGCAGCAGCGCCGATTCTGACATCAGGATCAAGATGCAGTCCTCGCTTCTGACAGAGCTCAAAGCATTCCTCGACATCAGCACAAGCCTGATCTCGAAGTTGGGGGCGTCGACCAGTGTGACCAGATCGAGGGAGTGAAACATTTCTTCTGTGGTGTGGGGAGCGTTGACCTCCGCGACGTCGATGAGCCGCTGTAGTCGATGAAGGCATAGTGAGCGAAAGTTAATGATAACGAGTGCTGTGAATATAGCGAAGAAAATGGAGGGGCGACGATGAACAGAAAAAGAAACAGATCAGACGGTCGGATTGAGTACATCGATCAAGCATGGCGAACCACGAAGCGTCAAGCCGAAGCAGGAGCAATCCACGGCGACGCAGCTGCCACCAAGTCCGTCGTGCTTGTGGGACCATTTAAACTGAATGAATCAAGAACACGAAGTAAGAAAAAGAAAAGATTGGAATGAATTAAATTGCCTGCTTGAAACCGCAATATGGATGAGGTGCCCTGCCTCAACGAAATAACTCCGAACAACCCCCATAGTCTCTTCGATCTCAAACCACTACAGGTTGCCCATTGCTGTTGGCTATCGCGTCTTTGGCGTCTTGGTCACCATACGCTCGCCTATGGTCAGCCTTGACCGCGTCCAACAGGTAGTTATTGTAATAAAGAAACATGAAAGTCCAAATCAGCGTCAGTCCACCTGTGACACCGGTGGTGACTAAAACAGGTCAGTATCCATTATGGGAGACATGGGAACAGAACTCAGCCCTACCCTTAGCAGTCAAACTGAAAGTTTTGTCGGGTTTGCTCAAGACGTTAACGAGCGTAGAGAGCAGGCCCATGACGGAGTTTAGAAGCGCAGGTCTATCAATTGATGAGTAAAGGAGTCGGTAACTTCTCACTGTACTCACAGTAACACTTTGTTGATTAACCAGATGTAGTTTGCTCTCCATTTCAACCACAATCCTGTGACTCCCAAAACTCCGACTCCACACAGAATGGCTGCAACAATCAAAAGCCCGATATTTGCGATGGACGCCAGAATCTTGTTTCCCACATTGCTCTGATCCTTCTTCGCGGCCTCTATGATGTCGGAATTTTGGAAGTTGGTGTAGGTACCAGGCAAGACGATAAACCCTGCCAGGAGAATCCAGGTGCAGGCTGCTGCGAGGATGTTCCAGTACGGCCTTTTCTCGATGACTTGGCTCATATGCAAAAGCATGCCCATGTATTCAGTCTCTTGAGCCGGCGCTTTCTCGAGGATGGCTCTTGCCTGCCTCGTAGGTGGTCGGTAATCCATAATGCGGTTTTTCCTAGTACTGCTTTCTGAAAAGGACGAATCTGTTCTAGGTAGAGAAGGAGCTGAGGATTGATATGGATATTGTTGCTCAGATGGATATTCTTCGGTTGGGTAAGGAGATGGGCCTGTAGAGTCTTTCGTGAATAATCCCATTGGGTTTGTCTCAATAGGGTGCCAGCCCTTCGAGGTTAGTAGGGTAATACTATTCACAAGATTTCAGCGCCGAAGGCTGATAGCAAATGGGCAAACGTAGCGTATAAGGGAAGCGAATGACGACTTATACGAAAGGTCACAATATGAACAGGAACACAGTGAAAGTTCACACGCGATAAATGTGAGGCGTCTTTGGCGCCGGAGCTCTGTTGACAGCTGAAGCTTTGACATTCTCGCAATCCTTCATTGCATTGAACGTCTCTGAGCGGTTTCGAAGGATCAAGCTATTACTCGATTGGATAGAAGTAGTTGAGGTTTCAAACATCGGGCGAAACTCCTGGCGCTTGGAAAACGTTTGCAGCAATTTATGCAATACTTAGTACGGCGTATGTAAGCACCTAAAGCTGCCTAGCGCAAATCTCTTCGGTGGATTCTACGGGTGCACCCACCAAAGACCCATAGATTGATTACTACCTTCGTAAGTCCAGAAACGATCATTACGATTCTGTATATTCAATGCTGCCGCTTCATCTCATAAGCACAGAGTCGTTAGAGCTGGATCATATGTGACATTGTAACATGGCCAATCAGACAGTGTCTGTTGTCTATTCTACTGTTGTAATACGTTACAAAAGAATAATGCGTGATCGCGTCTAGAACGAGTCATCTTCAGTCGACTGACTGTCTCACACAAGTAGGCCGCCCTTCTGTTGCAACTAGCTAAACTTTAAACTCCCTTGAGGTATCTGGAGAAGCTTTAGTATCACCCTGCCACCTTCTGAACGCTCCCTTCCTCTATTGCAATCGTCTCTGGCTGTGCCGCAGGAATCTGGATGTCCTTTAGCTCCCACGTCATACCCGGGTATGCGTCACTCATAACAACCACACGAAGCTTCGTCTCGTCTTTCGAAGCCGGTACCTTGATTTTAACACGACTCTCCATCTTTGGAGCTATTCTGCCTCCCTGCTTCGGCCCTACATTGTCATGCAGAGACCAGCTCGCTCTTTTTAGCGCAACTAAGTCTACCACTGTTCCGTCTTTGTACACAAGGACAAAGTATCCCTCTGTCTGAGGCTTGGGAAATTTCGGGGCATATATGTATCCATTAGCATTAACGAGTGCGTTCTGTCGTAACAACTCAACCACAAAGTGATCCGGATTCAGCTCAGAGACACGCAGACGTATTCGTGGCAATGTCCCAGCTACTTTAGCGAATGTGTTCCGTTGAGCGGCAAGAACTCCAAGAGTCTCTGAGACAATGACCAACCTCGTTGCCGGCATCTCGGACAACGCCACAAGATCTTTTGGTGCCTGAGCGGCTAATTCATCACTTAGAGACTCACTGACAGTAGGAAGAATGGATAATGGATAGTCTTGAGGCCATCTGGCAGACTTGATGCACTGGAGCAGGCAGACCATCTGTTGCACGACTGTCGAGCGTCCTAATTCAGCCATTAGATCGATCCCTGCCTGAATAATTCGAATACTCTGATCGAGTACGGAATTGCAATCGCCAACATAATCGCTGATGGGCAGTTCAATCCGGGACATGAAAGCTTGTAGCAGAAGGAAGGCCTTCATGTGTGGATCCCACATTGGTAGGTCGTCCATGAGTCCAGCAGTGCCCAGCGGCAGGTTCTTCGCTAGCTCTGCATTGATAAGGTCTTCGTTGTGTCGCACTGGAAGATCATCAAATTCACTGGCCAGACTAACCCAAGCCAAAACATGGCCAAATGATGGTGAGTGAGTACTACGTGCTTTCGACAACATCATGCGAACTGTCAGATGACTGAGATAGTAATAAGACATGATCTTCCCAAAAGGGGTGGAGTCCACGTCACCATTGCTATGAACCAAGACACAATCGCTTCCAGCCAAATCATGCAGCGATTTGTCGACCAGTTCGATCATATAATCGGCCGCAAGCTGGCGCGCTGTCGAAGGATTATCGCGGTGCTCTTCTGCTGAGATCTCGAGACCATAATAGGTAGGATTTTTGTGGAGTCGCCGAAAGAAGAAGGTCCATGTCAAATAGTCGAGCGCATCTTGCTTGGTGGTGATCGTGCCGGCTGAAACTTCTGCTCCAAGATGGTTGTCCAACACATTATGTAACGAACTCTCGACCGGGAACCCTGTGTGCAAGAAATGCTTGTAGAACGCCTTCTTCGCATCTTGAGTGAAGATCCGGGCAATACCTGACGAGTCAAACTGTGGCCGACCAGCACGTCCCAGCATTTGCAACACGTCAGTCAGGTCCATGTCCTTGTACCCCTCGAGTTTGGCATCGAAAAACTGGGTTCCTTTGACGACGACCAGGTGTGCAGGGAGGTTTACACCCCAGGCTAGAGTCGAGGTCGCCACAAGAATTTGAATCTTGTTGTTAGCAAACAGTTGTTCCGCCAATGTACGATCGCTCTCCACAAGCCCGGCGTGATGAAGACCAATGCCAAAGCTGAGTGCCTCTCGAAGCGCTGTATCCTTCACGGTGGACAACGTTAGCTGGAGATCTTCCTCCGAAGCAAAATGCAGGAACCGTCGAGGATTATCTTCCATTCCACAGAAATTGATCAAGTCTTTTGCAGTCAGCCGAGTCTGCCGTCGTGAAGCAACAAAAACGATTACAGGTTTTTCAGGACTATGAGATTTGATGGCTAGGAAGGTCGGGCGATTCATCGACTGCATCAGTGGACAAAAGCCACGCTGCTCGGGAAAGCCATCAATATATATCTCCAGAGGCACCGGACGGACGCTGTGGCGGAAGTTGAAGAGCCCTTGATTATTTCCAGACTTTACACCAAGCCAATTTGCAAGATCAGACGCATTTGCACAAGCAGTGGACATGCCGACGAGCCTGATAGAGCCGGATTCAGACTGTGATGCAATATAATTCATGCGGCTAACGATGATCTCCAAGATGGGACCACGATCTCCTCCCAGAAGATGAATCTCGTCAATAATGACTAAAGATACTTGTCTGACATAAGAACGGGTCTGCCAGCTCCTAGAGATACCGTCCCATTTCTCAGGGGTGGTGATGATAATATCGGCATGCCTGATCGTGCGCGTATCTGGAGTATTGTCACCGGTTAGTTCTACTAGCTTCAGTCCCATCTGCGAGACCAAGCGCTTTCCCCAATCCTGCACTCTCTCCCTGACAAGTGCTTTCATTGGTGCTATGTAAACAACCTTGCTGCCCGGCTTTTCTCGGAATGCCCACCACATGGCCAATTCCGCTGCAACGGTCTTGCCGGAACCAGTGGGTGAGCCAAGGAGAACATTGGAGGAGGTGTGATACAGAGTGTGAAATATCTGTGTCTGCATTGGATTGAAAAATCGAAACCGCTGCCCATATATTTCTTCAAGAAGTGGGTTTTTCAATGCAGATATGGGCAGCGGCTGCAGGTCCAAAAGATCCGTGTAGACACTTTCAGTATCAGGCCGGATAAGATGCTGAAATGAGACAGGGTAGACTGTTTCAGCCCCAAGCCAGCGGTCCGACACTGCTCTGACATAGATTTGAGATGGTAGAGGATCGGATAGTGGAATAGTGAAGTTGAGCTCGTGTGTATCATAGAGTTTCTTCCTACTCAGAATGAAATACTCGTGATGGAAGATCTCTGATGTCTCCGAGTTCTCCACCCAGATCCAGTACGATTCCGAGGTACCATGATGACGATCGTTCCACGTGAACTCAGGGAACAAAAACAGCTTCATGCGAAGGACATCGCGATTAAGTGGCGCAATTTCAGCACCAATAGACAAGGTCGGAAAGTTGTCCAGAAGCTTGGAGATTGTATTACCCATTTTGAAATTGTGGACAAGCGCTCCGATTTCCGACGCGTCCATCTCTCGTAGTTCTTCTACCGCGGAAGCGGGCCACTTCTCATCCAGCTTTTTCAAGATAGGTTGGGGAAGATCAAATTGGTGAAATGGATGTTGCGAGTGCCACATCTGCTTTTCAATGGACTTGCAAAGTGACAGCAAAACGATGCACTGATATCCCCAACCCCGATTGAGCGCGATCATGAACAGCGCACGGCAGATTCTTGCTGAGTTCTGAGCCACATATGCGCTATCCGAAACAAGAGCGAAATCCTCAATACGTGCTCGAGAGATGTAAGATTGCAACAGGATGTTGGTTTTGGCATGCGGTTGATCGTTTGTCCCCTCAATTTCATACGGAACAATGCTCTTCTCCGAAACAAGCCTGTGCAATTCTAACGATTCGCTGTCACGGGGCTGAATGTTATCGAATTCCCCACTCATGCTGATCATCTTCAACACCTCTTTCTCGCTTGCCCTTGGCGTCATCATGGTGTTAAAGATTTCAATACTAGTCTGCAAAATGTAGTATTGACTGGCAATGCGACCCACATCTTTCGCCCGCAGCTCGTCAGTCTTCTCATTGAAGATGATCATCTGACTGTTGTGGAGTGTCCGTGCAGCTTTGACGACTAGATCTCTCCGTCGTTCTACAAGTTGCGGATCATCCATAATCTCACTCCAATCAATTCCGTAGTTCCTTGGATCTCGTTTCATTCTCACAAACAAATACGAATATCCAATCCACGTCACCGCTTCCGAGACAGACGTCACCGTCCCTAGCGAAATCTCGGCATTGAGATTGTCGACTAATTTCTGCGAGAACTTTGATTCAATTGGTTGTTGTTGTGTCACAGCTGACAGATAGTGCTGCAGTTTATCCTGGGAAGTACAAATCATACCAATGCCAATATCTTGGAACTGAGGTCGGCCAGCACGGCCAAAAATTTGCAGGACATCCAGAATGCCCAGGTCAACGAATTTTCCCGCTTCTGCGCTGTAGAGCTGGGTTCCCTTGATGACAACGGCGGCTGCTGGTAGATTAACACCCCAAGCAAGAGTTGCGGTACAGCATAGTACTTTGATAGCCCCCTCTGCGAACAGGCGTTCGACAAAATTTCTGTCCGCTCGAGCCATGCCAGCATTGTGGGCGCCAAAACCTTTTGGAATCAGGTCTCGCAACTCGCGGCTCCGAGTGTTTTTGAGGTCCTTCAATGCCGTGACATAGCTTGGATGATCGTGCTCAGGCATGAAAAGATCATCACATTGCTCGTCCATTGCTTTCTGATGCAGCATACGGGCGGTCAACACAGTATCCTTCCGTGAGTGCACGAAGACCATTACTTGGTGACCAAGAAGCAGCATCTCTTTGGTCTTGATAAAAGCAACTGTGTCGAGATTCTCTCGTGCGGTCTTGGTTCCAGCCTTCCCTTTAATGCCTAGAAAGTGTTGCTCGAGTGGTACAGGCCGGAAAGAGGCATCGAAATAGAATAGACCGGTGTGTCGATTGACTTTCAAAAAATCTGCAACGTCAACATAATTCGGTAAAGTGGCGGACAGGCCAACAATTCGAATCAAAGATTGCGTGCTCTCGACCTGACGCTCGGTTCTGGCCACCAATGATTCTAGAACAGCGCCCCGCTCATCATGAAGCATATGAACTTCGTCAATGATTAAGAGCCGGACTTTCTGCACAAGCTCTGTGTCGCCAGTACTCTTTCTTGTCACAACATCCCACTTCTCGGGCGTCGTTACAATGATTTGCGTGGCAGCTATCTCTCGTTTCGTGAGCTGCATGTCTCCTGTAAGTTCGCGAACTTGGATTCCTAGCCACTGCAGACGCCTTCCAAGTTTCTCGGTGACTTCAGCAGCTAGAGCTTTCATCGGGGCCACATAAACAACCTTGAAGTCGTCTACCTGTACCGTAAATTCGGACGCGTCAGGCTCTTCGAAAGGATCAGGCGATATGTTCTTGGAGATCGCATGCAGAATTGTCAGCATAGCAGCATCGGTTTTCCCTGCACCTGTGGGAGCGCATATCAACATGTTCTCGCTCGTTTTGTAAGCTACACCATAAAGCAGACTCTGCATGCGGTTGAGACTTTTGTAGCCTTTGAAAGTTTGCCGACAAAGGCCATCCATATCACTGATTTGTACCAATTTGTGACCGGCAGCTAGAACCCCAACTTTAGCAGCAGGTATTGAGTACTCTTCGTACTTCTCGTGCTCTGTCCTCGAGCTTCCAACTGGCAAGGCATATTTCCTTCCTGCGGCATCCAGAGTATTTCCAGCGCTGTGAGATTTGTAGACATGCGGTAATTGCTCCTCTCCACGATTCAAAGCTGGGGCAAGTAAGGCATGTTTGTGCTCATAGTCTTGCTGCCGTAGAGCGGCATCTCTTTCCTGCTTCGTCTGTAGTCTTCCAAGAACACCATTGGCATCTGCAGCTCGAGGCTTATCGAGCAATTCCTGCCTATGGCTTATGATCTCAATCACAAAGTCCAGATCGTCAAGTCCTAGAATATCTGCCAAGGCCATCTGCAATTCGTCTTCAGAAAGATGGGCAGCCAAAGTGGAGAGGATCTGCTCAAAAACATCTTCCGCAGCAATTCCAGGTCTCCACTGGCTATATTGCAGACATCTCTGTCTGAGCCAGTTCTGATCGTGGCTCCTGTCTCTCCACGAGAAGCCGTTACTCTCAAGGAGTCCATCCTCACTAGGAGGGCTCTCATCATGCTCGCTCGACACCTCCCAGATGTCCTCCTCGGGATCATCTTCAGAAGAAATCTCATCCACTATATCAGCCCCGTAGATTTCTCCTTTAAGTGGTGGCAATTCGAGCTCAGCAATAGCTGGTCGCATTGCTGCCCGCATCGCTGCTAGCTGAGCCAGCCATTGTGTCTCTGCTGTTGATGCCAATGTCATGGTCGACAAATGAAACAACACAGATCTGGGTACTACTTGCACCGAGCTCTTTTGGGCTTATCGCAACTATGACGGGCGACAGATGTTCGACAACCAGGGTTCCCTTCTGGTACCTGGCCGGGCTATTTTAGCCGGCCTTCCATACTTATCTTGGCAACACGAGGAGAGTAAAATCTACTCCGCACTCCACTCCCGTCGCCTCCTTTCTCTTGAGACTCCCCTTTCTTGATCTTTAAATCTTTTGAAACAGCCCGATTCTACCTTTGTCTATGATCTATCAACCAGCATAAAAGGATAGCGGGTCATCGTAACTAACTAGCTTGATCACCTAAGCAGCGGCAAACGGCGACAAGAACAGGGCACATAATGAGCATGATAAAATCCGTAGCTCGGCGCTATCATCTTTGTTACAAAATGCATTGTTTACCACTGACTTGTCAATAGCCTACAACTACAGTTTACGCGTTTCTATGTACAGGTCTAAAGCTTCTGCAGCTCATTGCGTTTGACAGTTTACTGTCCTCTATACGCCGTCGGCCATAATAATTTTGACATTTGTTGCCCGATTGGAACTCCCTTTCCTCCCTGCGCTTTTGGTACTTATTACTGCTTGGCGCAGGGCTTACGATGCCTCCCTGTTCCTTAGGTCTGATACATTCTAAAGCGCTTGTCACCTAATCTACATGCGAACTTGCTTAATACTATACCTTCCGTGATGCACGACTTCAGGTACGAATTCTATGGGCTAGCAACGAATTTCTATACAACAGTACGACAGGCTTCGGCAGCCGTAAGTGAGGCCTGGGCAGCTCTTCCACAGACGCATCCAGAAGAACTACTTGAAAAAAACGCCTAAGGGTGTCAAGCAGTAACTGATGCCAATGGGGAATTCACTTGATAACACTACGATAGGAGGCATAAATAATGTATGCTCCGAGCTAGTGTTTGGGTCTTTACTGAGGCTTAATGAAAAGTCACCCAGTCCAGATAGAATCAGCTTATATTTATGTGTGAATCCAGCCAATTAACATCCCGCTTAGCTAGCCAACATCGTTGGGACCTTGTGACAAAGAGCTTACATTACTTATGCCCCTACCGTGGTAGGCAATTGTCCTAAGAAGGCAACTCAAGGTGACAGGACTATTGTCATCTACTGGTAGCGAAGCCAGTGCTTACAACGCCGAGCTACGAACACTGATGCCCGTACGCACAGTACACATTACGAAGATTGGAGGCTAGAGCCACTAGCCAGCTATCATGCTATGGGAGCGCCATTACTAGCGTACTTGCACTTCATCCGACGCACGCTTCCGTACATCTGTATCGTTATTCATGCTCACTTGTCCATTGGCTACCGAGGCTTTGCTGTGGAAATCATTGGCGACAGGCGCTTGTGGGAGAGTTTGGTTGGTGCCTCCAACTTGAAGCTCAAGCTACTCGGTGCTGTTGCCAGAGAGTACGTTCCTTCCTAAATAAGTCTAGTTTTTTGCGCAAGTATCTCGACGCATCACACACACTGTTAGATCGTATGAATGTTCATTGGTTGGATTTCTTCGCATAACCCCTGCGTTTTGCCTGCTTTTGATTGGTCAATTTCTCCGCAATTTCGCTTCTTATTTCACTGTACGGTACGGAGTACGGCCAACTGGTACGTATATCTGCACACGCTGCCCCTTAATTAGATGAACAACTGGCTTTCTACGGACCTCCTGCAGATTGTTAGACACACATCTACAGTCAACTAGTTATTGGGTTCTTAAAGCTTTACTAGTATATCTACTTGTAGAACCCTTGCAGATGTGCTTTCTTTGGGGAGGATCTGACCGCATGAGAGCGCATATTCGGACGGCACCAAATGAACCACACTATAGGCCTCAGCTCAGCCTCGTGGGCGGCTACAGCGACGTCCACCCGTGTCCTTTAGTGCCATCCATCAATATCAGCATCACGTAGATTACTGGTCACCGAACAGAAAGTCAAAACAAATCGACAACATGGCATCGGCGCATGGTCTGGACGCCCAAAGTGAGACGACTCTAGGACGATCGCAGACCGGCAGTGACCACACCCTCGACAATACAGGCTCCTGCCTCCTGTCCCTAGACGGTGGCGGCGTCCGCGGCCTGTCTACACTATACATCCTCCAAGGCATCATGAACCGGCTGAATTACATGCGTGAACAGGCCGCTCTGCGCCCAAGGAAGCCGTGCGAGATCTTCGATTTGATTGGGGGAACAAGCACTGGTGGGTAAGAGCAATCGTGTTTTTTTTCTAGCACCCCTTATATAGTACATTTCCTAGTCCGCTACTTTGGAAAGGCACAATCACTGATGTTGATGCAGGCTCATCGCCATCATGCTAGGCCGTCTGGAAATGTCCGTCGAAGAATGCATAACCGCTTACACCAAAATGATGAAGCATGTTTTTGAGAAGAAGGCAAATCATTCTTTCATAAGTATCCTAGGGGGCGTTAAGCCGCGGTTTTCGTCTAAGGCGCTGGAGAACGCAATCTTGCAGGTCCTCAAAGAGCGCGGCATTCGTATCGACGAAAAGTTTGAGAACGGAACAAGGTTGCGGTGTAAGGTGTAAGTACACCTCAGTTTCATCGGTACACACTGATGCCAATCTCTCGTGATTACAAAATTATGACTAACCGGGATATCAACGTCTAGCTTTGTTTGCACCAAATTCCAAAAGACAAACACCACTACCCGGCTCCGCAGCTACCGAATCCCCGCGGTCTCTGACTTTAATCCAACCATCCTTGAAGCTGCACTCGCAACCTCCGCTGCGCCAACCTATTTCTCCGACGTCGCCATCGAAGGCAGCAGGTTCGTCGACGGCGCGCTCGGGGCGAACAACCCTGCCCTAGAGGTTGAAGAAGAAGCCACGGACCTCTGGTGCGAGGAGACAGGGAATTTGCAGCCCCTAGTCAAATGCTTCATCTCTGTTGGCACTGGACATGCAGGCATACGGAGTGTTTCCGATAAGGGGCTGAAGCATCTCTTAGAGACGCTGCAGAAGGAGGCGTCTGAGACGGAGAGTACCAACCAGAAGTTCCTGGGACGCTGGCGTAACCATGTGGAGCAGGGCCGATGCTTTCGGTTCAATGTTGACCATGGGCTGGACAATGTGGGGCTAGCGGAGTTTGAAGAGCAGGATTTGCTTCGTGCAGCGACGTCTACGTATTTGCAAAAACGAGGTACGATAGGGGAGGTGAGGACGTGTGTGGAGAATTTGCGGATGAAGGAATGTTTGTATAGCCCATAGAAATGGACCATGAAGAAGAGTACTGATCTCCCGCCTTGCATGCAGATGAGCCCACCGCAGAAATTACGCGAAGGCTGAGAGATCAAATCCTTCCCCCGTCGGGACAGAGACCGAATTTAGCATCATCAAGAGCGACTTCGTCTGAGATTTGTGAGTAAGATCCCGGTGCCTAGAGCTAGTGCCCCATTTTATCAGCTCCAATGGGTCATCCCTGCGCCTGAGGGCCTGGAGGACCCCAAGGGACTCAACAATGTTCAACCAATCCTTGCGTCCTGTTTACAAGGCATCTATGCTGGGCTGTTCCATAAAATTGGCAACTTGCGGTATGGCTCTCTTCCAGTGGGATGAGGCTAACGCCACCACCCAGCGGAGCTCATCAGTCTAGGCAACACGCACCTCAAACTCCCCCCGAACCGCATCACCCGTCACGATCTCCTAAACGCACAGCAGAACTTCTCCCAAGCCCTCAACTACCTCAAAAACAACCCATCTACCCCACCGAAGCAAGTCTCACGCCTCTGCCACAGGCTCATGGAGACCTCGATCCGGCTCAGTATGATTGCGCGCGAAAGTACGGAGCGCAAACAGCATGCTGACCAGGGTCGCGAGTATGCCGAAAAAGCGCTGGATAATGCACGCAAGTGTGAGGATGACTGCATGGTTGCACAGGCGGAGTTCATGCTTGCGTGCGTAGGGGCGTGGAAGGTCTATGTGGCTGCGAGAATGAGCAGGGTGGAGCCGAGTACTTACCCGAAACGGGAGGGTGCTGAGGTACTGCTGGAGCAGAGGTTGGAGGAGTTGGGACAGTTCCCGCATTTGGATATGGAAGTTTACGAGGCGCAGGCCAGGAAGTATCTAGGGTATTTGAGGCCAAGATGATTGATTTGTTCACGTGCCTGCACGAGAGAGTGAACGCTCCTCAGAAACTAAGTACTGTACATGCAGATCCAATAACACACGAGAGCATTCGAAAGTTTCATACCCAATATAGTACATACGTGATAGAGACTATGGATGTGATCTCACATCAACCACCCAAACCCATACTCCTACCTTTCTCAAACGTCAACCGGCTGTGTCTAATATCTATGCGGCAAATAACTCTGCACATTAGATACCAATGTCGGTGCCGGTCTCGGCATCTCCGAGATCATCGAGACAGAATCATCCGGCGTAACTTCTGACTCCGCCTTCTGCTGATAATACGTCTCGGGGTAGAGTTTCATTGGATAGACGGGCTGCTGGTAGATCGGAGGCGGCTGCTGCGGGTACTGCGCCTTCCTACCTCGCCCAAATCCGAACCATTTGAACACTATCTTGAGCGTGACTGCGAGGAACGCGAGACCAGCTAGACTCCCCACAACTATGCCGATGATCGTCGACGTGGACAGCCTGCTCGACTCCGAAGACGAGCCCGGCGAGTCCGATGTAGAGGAAGCAGTCGGCCCACTGCCTACCCCTCCACCCACCGTTCTTGTCGAAGCACCAGGCCCTGTGGTTGTCGCTTGCACTGTCGCTGGTAGTGCCGCAGGACTATATCCCTTCTCCGCGCAATATTGCGCGTAGATGCTACCCGCACTCGACGCATCGATCCTGACATCGCCCACCGAACACTTGTTCTCGATACAACTGGTCAAATAGTCTTGCGCAGGCTTCTGCAGATCCGTCCGGCAGTAGCAGTCATTCGTAGCTTGCCAATTACTGTCGGCGCAATTGCTGTGTGACTTGCAGCCTATTTCGCCACCGAGCACGTCGTTGGGGCAGAAACCAGTGGCGACGAAACAGGATTGCGCGCAGGGTTTTTGGAGGGGAAAGGCCGAGAGGGTGTAGACGTCCTGCGTTATGGTGCCGACTTGGCCGTGCGTGAGTTGTAGGAGGAGAGTGGTTGTGAGAAGGGAGAGATGTAAGAGATTGCGTATCGTTGAATGAGTCATTGTTGTTTCTTGCGGTTTGAGACTATCTTGAATAAATGAGCCGAAGGTTGGGTGAAGGCCATGGGAGGAGAAACATTTTGATAAAGAGGGTAGAACCGCGTGACCGGACGACTAGATTGATAAGATATGCAACATGCAGGGGAGAATTGTTCGGCTCGTAATCCAACAACAAGAGAAATACTTATGGCCCCTACCGTAGTAGAGAAGAGAACTCCGCAAACCGAGAACCTCTGGTACATTAGTGCATGAACCGCCGACCTTTCGCTAAATTATTCCGAAATAGGATTACCACAGCACTTGTGGATGCCGAGTTCACGTTCCTGTCCCTGCGAGATATTTATTTTCGGGCTGTACCCGTGGCACAATAGGTGGACTTCCCGTAACGCAATTTCATGCACAATGCAACATTAGACGCTGACATTCAATTTTGAATGAGTACTCCGCATAGACAGCTTGGAGTAGTCGACCTGGGAATACTCTTCTAATTAATATCTGGGTAAGTATTTCGTATGCTGTATACCAAGTTTCGTGCTTCCAGTGCTCATTTTTTATTCTTTAAGCAGATCTTCTTCCCGTTATATTGTTACAACACGTGTATCTGGCTCAGCATAGGAAATCCAGGAAGAAAACTTACCGGACTTCACGTGAACACTGCTGAGTACACGAATTCTCTTTATTGTATCCCCTCCGTGCCCGGACAGGGGTGTAGATTGGATCAATTAGCGCTGTCGATCCCGATAAGGATCCAAAAATGTCAACAAATGTCCGTTTTCGACCAATTGAGGCTATTCTATCTAGCAATTGACTCTAATTGAGTGGTGATATCGTTGCCAACAGCTTCCTTCAACACAGAGCCAAATTTGGCACTTACTGCACATATAGCGCGTTCGTGAGCCACCTAAAATAGCGTCACTGGCGCTATTTACAGCTGATTCTGTAATATCTGTTCCGAATTTGCGTTTGGGTGCTCTTTTACGTGGGCAGCCTGGTGGATGGAATCTTCCCCATTCGCACCGACCGAGATGCTCTTATTGTACGTGTTTATAGTGACGTTGAAGCACTATTGTGGGTACAAATTGGGATCGTTCCTGTTGCTCTTCTGCTTGCTCATTTTCGATTGGATCATTCAAATAAAGTAATTGATTGCATAGAGCGCTTATAAACACCCTATAGCTATTATGACTCTCGTTGTTCGTGCTCCATTTCCATAGCAAATAAGTATTCGCGCAAGCAACATTAATAAGAAAGAAAAACAAGGGCCACCAAGTTCAATAATTCTGCTTTCTATAGCACGTAAAGCCTGCGCGTAGTTGATTGGCCTGGTCCACGCCCTTCATATAGTGGTTGTACTCATTAATAGCCGTTGGAGAATAAAGAGCTTTTTGAATAGTTAACTATCAAAAATAGGCAGTAAAATTTGTTAATTTTTAAACGTAATTTTTAGGCATCTTTATATATATTAAATCTTATTCTGAGGTTTATAAAGGCTATAAGTAATTAAAATAGTACTAATAGTCTTATTATCCTGCTAAATAAAGCAGAGAATATTATTATTAATAACCTTTGCTATAATAAAGTTTTATGATAATTTATTTTATTTAAAATAGCTTTATAAATATAAAGGAAATCTATCTACCTTTTTATATATTATATTTATATAATAAATCTCTATAGCTAAAAAGCATTATATAATAAATATATTTAAAAATAAATTATCTAAATAAATATATAGAATTTAAGCTATTTTAGAAGCTATTTAACTAGGCATAAAACAAGCACAAATATAGATGCTAATAAGGTATACTTAGCACTTATAAAGCGTAAATATAGCTAGCTTATTTTTATGCCTTTTTTAAGAGTTTTAACTTTATTTATTCTAGAGTAAAATAGCTAGCTCTAAATATATCTATAATTACTAATATATTATAGCTTATTCCTTATATTAATAGGCTTGTTTTTAAGCTTAATTATATGTTTTAAACAGCTTTAAAAAGCGATTATAACTTTATTAATAGTAATATAAGAGAAGAGAGAGTAAGAATTTTAATAAGTAGCTTAAATAAGGTTAGTAATATATTAAATTTAATAAAACTAGAGTATATTTATAAAAGAAGAAGCGCTATTTATATTAAAAAAGTAATAAATAAGATCAAATTAATTTTAACTTATAAATTAACCTAGATTATAAATTTTCTAGTATTCTTATTATACTGTTATTAGATGTAGGCTAAAGTAGATATTTATGCCTAGATATACATGTATTTCGGCAGGTGTAATAGGTACCTAGTAACATTTAGTGAGGAAGAGAGGATTTCGAATTTTGGATTCGGTATAGGCATTAGTTTCTTTAGAGAGGATTTCTACTACTAAATCGCTAAAGAAGAGCTTGAAAAAGCCTAATTAAGATAGATTAGTATATTAAGGAGCTCGTGCTCGATTCTCAACGTAATTAGCGTCAAATTAAGGAAGTTCTGTTGAAATGAGTGTGGGCAGTTCATTAGTGCATTCAGACGCAGGTGCAATCACTGCCAAGGTCTGATCAACATTATTTTGGTCGACGCTTTTAGGGTCAATTTAGGGTCGTTTTTACTGATTGTTATTTCTTTCTGTTTTTGGAGGTGAGTTATCTCTATATCTTATAGGGATTTGCGTATTTCATTGTGGTTATAACATGATTAATAGTTAAAAATTTATTTAATAGACAAGCTACAGGAATTTATAACAATTAAATGCGGCTTAAAAACCTTATTTTACGCCAAGTACGCTAATTGATCTAGCAGGCGCGGAGGGGATAGACAGACATTCCTATCCCCTCTGTCCCTGGGTGGTCCAATTAGCGTCTTGGCGCAGAATAAGGTTTTTTAGCCGCATATGAGCGTCACAGCTTTCCACTGCGCTTTTTATAAATAAATTTTCAGCCACTTACTATGCTACGACCACAGCGAAATACGCAAATTCCTCTGAGATACAGAGATAACTCACCTCCGTCAATACACAGAAACAACAACCAGTCAAAACGGTAAAAAATTGGCTCCAAAAGCGTTGATCGAAATAAAATCGATCAAGCCTTGGCAGTGATTGCCCCGACGCCAGAATGCGCAGATGAACCCTCGACATTCATTTCAACAGAACTCCCTCATTTTGAGGCCAATTACGTTCGAAATCGAGCAGGAGCTTCTCGATACACTAATCTATCTGAATTGGGCTTTTTTCAGCTCTTTTTTAGCGATTTCGTGATGGAAATCCTCTCTAAAGAAACTAATAAATACGCCGCGTTCAAATTATAAAATCCTCCTTTCCTTAAGAAATGTCACTAGATACCTATTACGCCAGCAGAAATACGTGTATTTATAGGGATAAATCTCTATTTTGGCTTATACTATTTAACAGTACAAACAGATTATTAGAAACTATATAATCTAGGTTAATTTATAAGTCGAGATTAATTTGAACTTATTCATCACTTTTTTAATATAAATAATGCTCTTACGCCTCTAAATATATCCTAGTTTTATCAAATTTAATATATAGCTAACCTTATTTAAACTACTTATTAAAATTTCTTTTATCCCTCCTCTTATATCACTATTAATAAGGCTATAGTCGCCTTTATAAGCCGTTTAAAGTATATAATTAAGCTAAAGAACAAGCCTATTAATATAGGTTATAAGCTATAATATATTAGTAATTATAAATATATTTAGAGCTAGTTATTTTACTCTAAAATAAATAAAGTTAAAATACTTAAGAAGAAGATAAAAATAAGCTAGCTATACCTACACTCTATAAGCGCTAAGCGTATTTTATTAATACTTATATTTATGCTTATTTTATACTTAGTTAAATAGCTTTTAAAATAGCTTAAATTCTATATTTATTTAAATAATCTGTTTCTAAATATGCCTATTATATAGTGCTTATTAATTATAAGAATTTATTATATAAATATAATATATAAAAAGGCTAACAAATTTTCTTTATATCTTTAGAATTATTTTAAGCAAAATAAGTTATTATAGTAGTAGTAATAGTAAATTCTATTAATCTAATCCAGACTAAAAAGCCTATATAGGTCTGCTTGTCAACCTTTTCTTACTACTTATATAGTCCTCCCTTCTTTATTTCTCTTCTTCCCCTTTCTTCCTCCTCTGTTCTGTCCTCTTCCTCTATTCTGTCCTCTTCCTTTTCCTAATTTCTGCTTGACCTTTGTAGACGCTGTTCTACATCTTAGTTAATGGCCCTTCTGAACTGATCTAGGATCTTTATACGCTAGATCATCCTGATGGCTGCCTTTGACCCCTTCTTAAAGGTCAGGATTTCCTTGATGTCGGTTGTACAGAGGGGGTGTATAAGCTCTTCCCTCTTTGTAGACTACTTAGAGCAGTTTAGTAAAACGTGTTCTACTGTTATGCTTTCTTCTCTTGAGCAGTTGCAGTTTAGACTTAAGATATTAGGAACTTTTATTTTATATAGGAAGGCGTTAAAGCCTATTTTGTCTATGTGAAGTTATGTTAGTAAAGCGCTTTTATGTTTCTTAAGACCTATGTACGCCTCTATTATGCGTTCTATTAGGTACGATTACTAATTTCTTAAATAGGCACCCTTTTTGCTAGATTTCTAGTAGTCTTTTTATCTCTTGTTATAGTATAAAGTAAGTCCTTTATATAACTTTAAGAGCCTTTTATTATAATGTTATTCCTAATTCTTTTTCTATAAAGGCAAGGTCTTCTTTATTTATTAGGCCTCCTAAGGTTTAAATGTAAACTAGTTTGCCTAGATATTTATATAATCTGCTAAAGAGTTTTAAGAGATTATTATTCTTTCTCTTTTACTTATTATTTACTTATAGATTTATTTATATATTTCCTTAATACTAGTTGCTACTTTTGTTATATAGATTCTAGTAATTGCCTTAATTACTAGTCTCTTAATATAAAGATC